CGAAAGAATGATTTTATAATTTATACTAGTACAGTCGAACAATATAAACAGAGGAGAAATTACAACAGTACCCTTATGGTACTAAATCTGAATACATAAACAATTGACAACACCCCCTTTCCAAAAATAGTGGAAAGAGAGCCATCAGCAATCTTTACCTTATCATTCCCATATGAGATATGGTAAGAAGTGAATAAAGAAGATGAATTTGTCATGTGCTCAGAGGCTCCTGAGTCAACAACCCAAGAGTTTGATGAAGAGGACTGAATAACACTAAGGGCAGATGTTATACTTGTCTTTGCAAATGAGAAGGAAGTAATGGATGATTGTTTCAACCAAGCCATAGCCTGACAAATGCAGACTGCTCACAAGGTTGAAGTGGAACACCAATTCCAATTTCTTTCCTCCTCATCTCCTCATTCCTAATCAGGCAAAACATATGATGCAAACCTGGAAGTTCATCTCTACCTAAAATTTGAGTTGTAATGCTTTCATACGAGTGGTCAAACAGGCTAGAAACTAGAATATTCTTCCTCCTTAAATTTGCTTGTCATGCCTTTCTTTGTCATTGGTGATGTCCTACTCAAGGACTAAATGGTGATCAAGCTCTTCCCATAAGCCTTTTAATGTAGAAAAATAAGTTTCTACAGTCATGTCCCCTTGAGTCAAACTAAAGATGTCTTGATTCAGCTTGTAAATCCTTGCTATATTTTTCTTTTGACCATGGTGTTGTATAGTTTTTCCCAAATCTTGTGGGCTGTTGTATAATGCTGAACAGTCCTTGCAATTTTGGGAGTCATAGAAGTCATCAACCATGACATCACGGTTGCATTTTCCCTGCACCAAGTCCTATAACTTGGTTCATCTTCCTAAGTCTCCTTAATCTTCCCATCAATGTATTCTTGTAGTCAATGACTCACTGTGGACCATCTTGTTGAAATGGCCCATTCCCTATAGTTGTTTTTATCTAGCTTCACATTAATTATCTGTACCATAGGGTTTCCAAGGTGAATAACATTGCCAACAGTCGAAGAACCTCTAGAGGATACCTCACTAATGCTGGAAGACATTATGAACTCACTCAAAACAATAGCATGTTGCTAATAGTTGACTACCGCACTTTGCAAACAAGCTTAGTTGGACTATAAACTAATCTCCTAGACTGATACTTATATTAGAGAAGCATTAAAAAACATAAGATTACAACTTTACCCCCCCATTAGTAAGAGATGGAGTAACTTAAAACAAAGAAGCACAGGACACTGTTAAGTCCCACAACACCTTCCATTCCATATCGTTGTTTTGATCCAATCACTCACAAATATCTTGTCTTTATGGATGTTTTCTTCTTTGAGTCTGAGCCCTTCTACCCCACTTCTCCTCAGGGGGAGAGTAGTAGTTGTGTGGAGAAACAAGTCCGTCTTCCCAGATCCTTCCATCCTGTATCGTTGTTTTAATCCAATCACCCAAAAGTATCTTGTCTATATGGGCATTTCCTTCTTTGACTCTAAGCCCTTCTACCATGCTTCTCCTTAGGGGAAAGTACTAGTTGTGTGAAGGAGAAGCAACTTCGTCTTCCCAGATCCTTCCGTCCTGTATTGTTGTTTTGATCCAATCACTCACAAGTATCTTGTCTCTATGGATGTTTCCTTCTTTGAGTCTGAGCCCTTCTACCTTCCTCCTCAGGGGGAGAGTAGTAGTTGTGTGGAGGAGAAGCAGGTCCATCTTCCGTCTTAAAGATTAGCAAGGTTCCAAGGATGTGGAGCTCCTAGATATTATGCAACCAATACCGTCAAAATTCCAAGAGGTAAGTACACCTTAACCAAGTATTCTTATTCCTGTTGATTCTTTTGTTCCTAATTCAATTGATGGTTGTATAGATGACCTTGACATTTACATTGCCTAGAGAAAGGGTGTCAGGTCATGTACTGAAAGACATCCCATTGCCCATTACATGTCATATGACCATACTTCACCCTCTTATCATGCCTTTTTGTTTTTCGTTGATAGTATCCATGTACCCAAAAATAATGTTGAGGCCCATCCTACAAATGCTATGAAGGAGATTAATTCCCTCCATAAGAATAATACTTGAGAGTTGGTGGATCTTCTAAAAAGGAAATACCAAGTAGGGTGTAAATAGCTGTTTTCATTGAAGCACAAAGATGGGATAGTGAAAAAATGGAAGGCAAGGTTGGTGGCAAAAGGGTACACCTAGGTTTATGGTATTGATTATGCTAAGGCATTTGCACCGGTAGTTAAGATGAATTCTATTCAGGTCCATTTTTCATTAACCACTAATATGCACTAGGAGTTGCAACAACTTGATATAAAAAAAGCATTCTTAAATAGTGATCTAGAAACAATCTCCTAGAGGCAACAAAGGCAAGGTGTGTAGATTGAAGAAGTCCCTGTATGTCTTGAAACAATCTCCTAGAGAATGGTGTGTAGATTGAAGAAGTCCCTGTATGTCTTGAAACAATCTCCTAGAGAATGGTGTGTAGATTGAAGAAGTCCCTGTATGTCTTGAAACAATCTCCTAGAGAATGGTTTAGCAGGTTTCATATGGGGATTCAGCAAGTAGGGTTCAAACAATTCTGATCTAATCACACTCTCTTTCTCAAGAGGTGTTAGGAAAAGGTTGTAGTACTGATAGTATCTTTGTTTCTCAAAGGAAATACATCCTGGATCTCTTATAAAACACAAGATAACTAGGCATAAAACCAACTGATACCCATATTGATGTTAATCACAGGCTCAGTGATTGTGAAGAGAACCTTTAAAGGGTGTAAAACAGTTTCAAAGGTTAGTAGGAAGATTATTGTACTTATCTATTGCACGCCTTGGCACTGCTTACGCTATACAAGTCTTAAGTCAGTTTATGCATCCCCCTAGAATACCTGACTTGGAAGCTACTAAAAGGGTTCTTAGGTATTTGAAGAAGTATCCAAGGATTGGTTTGTTGTTCAGAAAGCACAATCACTTGAAGGTAGAAGGTTTTATAGATGCAGATTGGGTAGGTGTTATTGATGACAAGAAATCTACCAGAGGGTTATTGTACTTTTGTAGGTGGAAACCTAGTTACGAGGAGTAAGAAGTAAAGTGTCAATGCAAGGTCGAGTGCTATGGCACATGGGGTGGCTCATGTGCTTTGGATAAATAACTTGTTGGGAGAACTACGATTTAATATTGACAACCCTATGTCTCTTTACCATGACAATAAGGCATCCATAAGCATTGAAACTAATCCTATCTTCCATGATAGAAGAAATCATATTGAGGTGGACAAGCATTTTATAAGGGAGAAGCTTGAGAAGGGTGAAGTTTGCACTCCTTATGTGAGTTCAAAGGAGCAACTTACTGATGTTCTCATAAAGGGGCTCCAATGATTGTGGCACAATGAATTATGTGACAAGTTGGGCATGACTGACATATACAATCCAACTCGAGGGGGAATGTTGTTAGTTTACTGTTTTTCTGATTTTTACTTCTCATTTTTATGTTAGAGTGTGACACTCAGGGGTACTATTGTACTTCCACCTTTTATTATGTCACCCTACTATAAATATTAAACAAGGCACCACCAGCCCAAGTTTCTTGGCTCTCCATTGTCACTCTTCTCTTCTCCTTTATTCTCTTCTCCTCTCCTCTCCTTCCTACTGGTTCTAGGTGGAAAACAGTTTACTAAAAGCCTAAGTTGGAATAGAGTGGGTTAAATTAATAAGATGCTAGAATTATATGATATATATGATCCAACTTGAGTGAAAGTGTTAGAAGTAGTGGAAAACACAAAGATATTAGGTGGAAAGGTAGTTTTGTCTCATTATTCTAGGGTAGGGGTAATTTAGTATTTCAATATGTAACCATATCCCCAACAGAAAAAAAAAATTGGAAAATAGGTGAGACTAGTTTTTTCTCCTATCGATTCTTTCCTTTTCTCTTCTCTTCTTTTTCACTTTTAGTCTTTGAGTTCTTTCTTCTTTAGTAGGTACCTTTTTGAGACTTTATGACAATAAGTAAGCAATACTTGGTTGAATTCTAGAACACAATGGCATACCACAAAAATTCATTGTTAGTAATTATAAATTTTGGTGGTTAGACAAATGATGGATGCTTGGAATCTATCTTTGCTAGGAAGAATTATAACTAAAACTAAGAGATGCTTCTGGGTAGGAGAATTACCACAAGAGCTGTGAAAGAAATTATGATACCGAAAACCAGAAACCCATTAATAGCACCAATAAACCGCTGGCTGCATGAAGCATTGCTTCCAAATCAGAACTCTTTTGGTCATTTAAAATGTCTTAGTTATTAACTTATATGATCTCATATAAATAGAGGTAACATGAAGAGAAACTACTAGTGTAGATGAGGAAGAGATGCATGGTACCATTTTATATGGTGAAGTACTATTGCATTATGTAGAATTATTTATTACTTTTTATATTTTGTTTACACTTTTCACATAGACCTTCAAATTGTACATACTTGATTGGCATGGTATCAGAGCACTACAGATGTGGGATTGAAAACAAGTTTCTAGCTATTTGATTGGTTTGCATTTGGGAAGGGAAAACATCAGAGAAATAATGCTCACGTTGCATCTTCTGGCAATGAGACAAAGGGGTCAAGAGAGGTGTAGCTAGTGGTAATACAGCCAACACTAGTTCATACTAGTTCTTAAAAAGTAGTGAAGAGATGGTCAAGTTCAGTAAGTCAATGCCTTAATTGGAACTTCAAAAGGGGGTAATTCTATAACTTTTATCTCTTTCAGCCATTTAAGTAAACTTTTTTCTACTAATCAAGAGATTTTCAATTCATCCACTCCTACTTGAGCCATTGATTATGGAGCCTCCAATCATATGACCCATTTGTCCTTGTTTTCTACATAAGTGTACTTTCTAGTAGGGATAAGGTTAAAATTGCTAACTGATCCCTTTTTACTATTGTAGGGAATGGAAACATTAGGATCTATGATCTATTAGCATTATCCATTTTTTTCATTTTCCTGATTTCTCTATTAACCTATCATCCATTAGTATCTTTCAGGATCATTGTCCTTTAGGATCTGGCATCAGGGATGATGATTGGCTATGAGAAAGAAGCTGATGGCTTTTACATATTGGACCCCGCACTTCAATCAATCAGCTCTACTTTTTGTGGTAGTTCAACTGCTCATCCCAATCAGAGTCAAAATAAAAGCAATATTTTCTTGTGGGTTTCCTGGTTGCAATATTTAAGACTTATGTTTTTTAAGTTGTTTGTGTCTACTCCTTCCTCTAGTCTTCAATGTGAGTTGCATGAGTCTAAACATTAAAGAATTCCTTTTTATCCTAATAATTAAAGTACTTGATTAAGGAATAGGGTACCAAATATTATTTGCTAGTTTTATTAAATGGTACTTAGTATGGAACAGATTCAAGTATTTCTAACAATGGGGGTACTTTGAGAGTACTTTCAACCAATTTCAACCAAGGTTTAAGAGAAATGGGCAGTATTCTCCAGCCCTGCACTATCATCTATATGAGGGTTTAAGAAAAATACATGAAGAGATAAAACAGCCCCTCATTAGGTTGTAGCACGGCATAAGATGATAGTTATTATTGTAAGCTCCATCACCATAGTAGAAGCAGATATTACTTGGATCAACAATGAGATATAATGGTTCGATACCCTCTCTCCTGAAAACCCTTACATGGTATCAGAGCTCCAGGTTTCATTCTAACAGTAGTCGTACAAGACTACAGAGACTCTTTAGGTTTTGAACAGAAAATAAAAGAGAAGAAGAAAGAGAGAAGAAGAGAAGAAGAGAGATAGAGAAGGAGCACTCGTGGGAGAAAGTACATCTCAGGGTGTTACATGACTACTCTTAATGTGGGGTCCATAGTTTCCTACACCCCCCTCAAGTTGGGTAGTAGATATTTGTCATTCCCAACTTGCATAGATCTTCTTCTAACTTCTTTCTTGAAACAGCCTTGGTGAGAATGTTTGCAAACTGCATGTCGGAGGTGATGTAGGGAAGGCATACTTCCTGAGATGTAACCCTTTCTCTAATAAAATGCCAGTCCACTTCGATATGCTTAGTTCTGTCGTGTTGTACTGGATTATGGGCTATATGATGGCAGCCTGATTATCACAGTACAACATTAGGGGTTTCTCATAAACAATGCCCAATTCCTCAAGTAATGATCTCAACCATAGAATCTCAGCCACACCATTTACCATGGACCTATATTCAGCTTCAGCACTTGAACGATAAACAACACTTTGTTTCTTACTCTTCCTAGGAACCTCTTCAAATATGCTAATATCCTTTCAACCGCAAGGAGGTGAGTAGTTCTAGGAGAGTGCATATACTGACTAAATACACTGACTGCATAACTGATGTCAGGTCTTGTGAGCCAAAGATAGATTAGCTTTCCAACTAACCGTTGAAACATAGCTTTATCTTCAATAGGCTCTCCACCCTCTACACTAATCTTGTGGTTCTGTTCAATAGGTGTGTCCGCAGGTTTAACTCCCAACTTTCCTGTTTCTTATAACAAATCAAGAACATACTTTCATTAAGAGACAAAAATCCCATGCTTGGATCTAGCTACCTTAATGCCCAAGAAGTATCGTAGTTCCCCCAGATCTTTTACCTCAAACTCTTGATGGAGTTCCTTAAGAGACTCAATTTCACTAGTATCACTCCCGGTTACTACAATATCGCCCACGTACACGGCAAGCAAGGTTACGGAGGAACCCACTCTCTTAAAACAAGGTGTGATCTGACTGAGCCTGCACATATTCGAACCTATCAAGGGCTCGTCTGAATATGCCAAACCATGCTTTGGGGGACTGTTTTAGTCCATATAGAGCTTTGTTCAACTGACAAACCTTTCCTGTCTCCGTACCATAAAATCCTGGAGGCAATTGCATGTAAACTTCTTCCTGCAAGTCTCCATTGAGAAAGGCGTTTTTAACATCCATCTGATACAATAGCCAAGAATAACTAGCTGCAAGAGATAATAGTACTCTGATAGTGGTCATCTTTGCTACTGGTGCAAAAGTTTCTAAGTAGTCAATACCATATGTCTGAGTAAATCCTTTTGCAACTAATCGGGCCTTATACCTTTCAACAGAACCATCAACATTATGTTTCACTATAAATACCCATCTACATCCAACCGATTTCTTTCCTTTGGGTTGATCAACTATCTCCCAGGTATTATTTCTGATGAGGGCATCCATTTCTACTTTTATTGCATCTTTCCATTCTGGTACTTCCAATGCTTTCTGTATTGTTCTGGGAATGGGAATATCAGCAATGGATGCGAGAAAAGACTTGTAGGAGGGAGATAAATGATCATAGGATAGGAATCGAGAAATGCAATGAGCTGTGGTGCAATGGCATTTGTCTTTACGGACTGCTATGGGGAGATCAAGGTCACTGAATGAAGGTGAAGGCTCCATGGTTGAATGTCTCTCATCTGTAGTATCTGTGGTACCTAGATATGGATCTACAGAAGGAACTGGAGCTACTGTGGTACCTAGATCTGGATCTGCAGAAGGAACTGGGGCTACTGTGGTACCTGGATTTAGATCTGTAGAAGGAACTGGAGCTACTGTGGTACCGGGATCTGGATCTGTAGTGGGGACTGAGACTGGCCTGCACTGCTGATGTCCAAAATCGACCTGTCTCCATTGTCTGTGATAGACTTTCACATCCTTGCACCTTTGACATCCTTCCCCATTACATCCTTCTTCACTTAATGGGATTGGAAAAGGAACTTCCGATGAGCTACTCCCGGCTTCACTATTCTCCCCCTGAGGAAAAACCCTTGGATAATAGGGTTTATCCTCGAAGAAGGTGACGTCCATTGAGACAAATCTTTTTCTAGAAGTCAGTTCAGAACAACAATATCCTTTTGAGTTTGGGCATAACCAAGGAAAATACATTTGGAGGCCTTGGGATCAAATTTGGAATGATGAGGGCCTAGGATTTGAACGAAACAAGTGCACCCAAAGGTTTTGAGGGGAATGGTAAACAATTCTTTATCAGGGTATAAAAGGGTAAATGGAGTTTTCATGTCAAGAACCCGTGAGGGAATCCAATTGATGAGATAAACAACTGTAAGAACAACATCCCCCCAGAAACGTATAGGCACATTTGAGGTAAACATAATGCCTCTAGTACCTCCAATATGCGTCTATTCTTTCTTTTAGCAACCCCATTCTGCTGTGGTGTATGTGGGCAGGTATTCTGATGGATAATCCCATGATCATAGGAGGCTAATGGGTTTGCAAAATATTCTTTTGCATTATCTGATCTAAAAATTTTAATTTTGACCCCAAATTGGGTTAAAATCATTTGATGAAAGATCCGGGTTAATGCTGGAACCTCATCTCGAGAACACATAAGGTAAACCCAAGAAAATCAAGTGTAATCATCAACAAATAATAGGAAATATCTGTACCCCCCATGGTAGTGGTATGATAGGGTCCCCAAACATCAGTGTGCACAATTTCAAAAAGAATATTGCTTTTATTATTACTTAATGAATAGGTAGTCCTACAATGTTTTGCAAGCTCATAACTTTCACATTTCAAACTAGTCATCTGAAAAAATTCAAATATACTGGGAAACAAACTTTTCAAAGCCTGAAAGGATAAATGGTCCAATCTATTATGCCAAAGCATCACCTAATCAACAGACTGAGAAACAAAGGATTTCTTAGTTTCACTATCTTCCTGATGAGCACTTCCTCTAAGTAGATAGATTCCATTTGTCTCACGGCCAGTCCCAATCACCTTCCTTGTTTCCAGATCCTGAAAACACACATCGATCAGGAAAAAAAGGTTATTGAACAATTCTGGCCTTTTGTAATGTTAAGAATCGAGAGCAAGTTAGTGTTAAGCTTAGGAACATGCAGGACAGAGGATAGTGAGATTGCATCAGACAACTTGATGTCTCCTTTGCCAGAAATAGGAACAAGGGATCTATTAGCAATGGACACTTTGTCTTTACCAGAAGATAAATGATAGGTAGAGAATAGTGATGGCAAGCCAGTCATATGGTCAAATGCTCCTGAATCTATTATCCAATAATGTTCTGTATTACCTGGACCTGAAGATGAGGTTGAAGGAGCTGATGATGGCTGAGGAGATGGTACTAAATTACTGACTTCACTTTCTAATTGTGTCAGAGCAGCTAGGGTATCAAGAGGAGCTCCTCTTGAAGCCGTTGAGGCTGCACTATCAGTGTTGACA